ATCCGGTTCTCTGCTATGGCCTGGGAAAGCAGTAGAAGATGGCCGAAGTCCTTGGGCCCCTGCACCTGCATGGGAGACCTGGAGGAGGCTCCTGGCTCCTGGCTTCAGTTCAGCACAGCTCCGGCCATTGCAGCCAACGGGGGAGTGAACTAGCAGATGGAGGACCTCTCTCTCTCTCTCTCTCTGCCTCTCCTTCTCTCTGTGTGTAACTCTGATTTTCAAATAAATAAATATTTAAAAAAAGAAAAGCTACAAAGGCAGTAAAACACCTAGGAATAAGTTTACCCAACCGAGTCAGATTTCAATGAAATTCACAATGAAAACTACAAAACATTGGGTCAAGAAATTGCATCACACACACACACACACACACACACACACACGCAGACATGGAGAGACTTCCTTTCTACATGGACTGGAAGTCCTAGCATCGTAGGAGAAACTGAGGCCCAGAGTAGCCCAGAGTAGCAGGTACATGGCCTAAGGTCACCAGACAGGGCACCAGTCTCCTGGCCCAGCCCAAGGCTCTGTCCCGCACACCAACGTCTTCTCGAAGAACAGTGATTGCCCAACAGGGTGCTCTGTTCCCGGACCCAAGCATCAGCAAGGCCAGAGAGCTGACTCAACACCAGGGAGCTGTGGCCTGGATTTTTCTGGATAAGGCCAACCGGAGCACAGCTGCTCACCTCGAGGGCGGACTCTGTCCATTACCCATCCCCCTCGTGGGCCACCCGTCTCGGGCTGGGGGTAGCTCTGGAGTGCAGGGAGAGGCCAGTGTGTGTTGTAGGGACACAGCTGGGGTTCCCGCCTGACCTCTGAGCTGGGGGCAGGGGCACGTCTGCTCCTGGCTTTGCCACATGCTGGTCTACACTCAGGCTACAGGTCAGCTTCTTTGTTCCTCAAAGTCATCAGGAAAACAAGGACAGTGACTGTGACCTCACAGAGTAGTGAAAGCCTAAGTGGAGGTTTTTGGTTTTTAAATTTGTTTTTAACTGTGTATTTATTTTAGAGACAGAAACAGACAGACAGAGCTTCTATATGCTGCTCCATTTCCCAAATATCTACAAGGACTAGGACTGGGCCAGGCTGAAGCCAGGAGCTGGAAGTTCACCTGGGAACTTGAACCCTCACCGCTGCCTCCCAGGGGCTGCACGGGGCAGGAAGCCAGGAGTGAAATCCAGGAGCTGTGAGGTGGGATGCGGGGGTCTTAGGCTGACACGCGTGTGTGAATGTGTACGCACCCAGCACAGGAAGTGCTCGGTGGCACATGGTGTTAAGACCACCGTTTTGGGACACAACAGTCTAGAGTGTTCAAGGCCCGAAGTCAAGGTTGCTATGAGAACAGAACGCAGTCGTTGCCAACTCCCGTTGCAAGTTCAAGGTAAACTGTCTTCTCCGTGGCTGGCAGAGGCAGCACAGGTGGGTGTGGTCCTCCCCTTCACTCAGCTTTCAGAGAGGGAGGGAGGATGAGGAACCATGAGGTTGCTCTCCTTAACCCCCAGGGGGATGCCCTGGGCAGGTGTGTTCTATTCAGCCCAGAAGCACACCTGACCGTGCCCCAGGTGAGCATCCGTGCTTGCTCATCTGCCGGGAACCCGGCTAGGGTCATCCACGAGACAGCCGACAGAACCAAATGCAGCCAGCGCCGTGACTCAATAAGCTAATCCTCCGCCTGCGGTGCTGGCACACTGGGTTCTAGTCCCGGTCGGGGTGCCAGATTCTGTCCAGGTTGCCCCTCTTCCAGGCCAGCTCTCTGCTGTGGCCCGGGAGTGCAGTGGAGGATGGCCCAAGTGCTTCGGCCCTACACCCCATGGGAGACCAGGAGAAGCACCTGGCTCCCAGCTTTGGATCAGCCCAGTGCTCCAGCCGCAGCAGCCATTCGGGGGGTGAACCAATGGCAAAGGAAGACCTTTCTCTCTGTCCCTCTCTCTCACTGTCCACTCTGCCTGTCCAAAAAAAAAAAAGAATCAAATGCAAACGGCAGGCACAAGTTGGGGGCCTGCAGAAGAGGGAGGGGCCGTCCCCCCAGGGTAAATCAGCAATGCAGCCGTGCTGAGCGCCCACGAGCAGGCAGGACGGGTCTCGAGCCCTCCTTCCCCCACTTCACTGCCTGCCCCCAAATCGTGGCTCAACTTCTGAGCCCCTCAATGTCGTCCCTCTGGAGCTCCGGGTTCCCTGGTATCTGGGTTCGATTTCCTGAACTGGGGCGGATTAAACTCGATGAGTCACGGGGTCTTCCCAGGATGGGATGTTTTCTGGTGTAGGGAAAACCATCCAGGACGGTCCGAAAGGCAGAGCGACCCTGGGACCTGACAGCAGGGAAGGCCACGTGTGTGCAAACCCTGCCCTGCCCAGGAGGAAGCAGCTCTCACTGCCAGGGGGGGCTTTGGGGGCCTTGCTTTCTCACCATCTGTCATCAACCTCGGGGTCTCCTGTTTCTGCGGCCATAGAACACCCATCTTCCGGGTGGATGCATTCGTGGACTTGATGTTGCTTCCTCTCACCTGGCCTCCCTCACTCCCCAGGGGAAGCCATGCTCCTGGCCCCAGGGGCTCCTCCCGGCTTCCACCAAGGTACTGGAGATACATTGCAGCCTTGGGAGGAGAAGCCAGTGTCCCTCGTCCGTGCAGGGACCTGGTACTGCAACCCTGCCCTTGCACTCACAGCCGTGAGGAGGGAGCTCAGAATACACAGCAAACAGACTCGGGTCCCCCACTACTCTCTCGCACCTCTGCTGCCAAGTCCAAGTAATCCCCAGACTCCCTCATTCCTTAGGATTTTTCCCTGGGGACCTCAATCACTCATAATTTTTTTTATTTTAAAGTTTTGGGAAGACCTACCTTGCCAGGTGTACTGGTCAGCTTTTTGTGACTACAACAAAATACCCAAGGCAACTCACTATATGAAAAGGTTTTCGGAACTCACAGTTTCGGAGACTCAAGTTCAAGCTGGGGTGGGCTCCGTTCGCTTTGTGTCTGGTGAGGCCGGCAGATGGCCAGGGCAGAGTGTGGGTGGATGACCACACAGGTCAGCCAAGAAACAGAGGAAGCAGCTGGGTCCAACTCGGGCTTTTATACCCAACTCTTCCGCAAGAGTGATACTCTATTTTTTTTTTAAGATGTATTTATTCATTTGAAAGAGTTACAGAGAGAGAGGAGAAACAGAGAGAGGGAGAGAGAAAGAGAGAACAAGAGAAAGAGAGAGAATCTTCCATCTCCTGGTTTACTCCCTGAATGGCTGCAATGGCCAGGGCTAGGGCAGGCCAAAGCCAGGAGCTTCTTCTGGGTCTCCCATGTGGGTACAGGGGCCCAAGCACTTGGGCCATCTTCTGCTGCTTTCCCAGGCGCATTAGCAGGGAGCTGGATTGGAAGAGCCAGGACACGAACCAGTGCCCACAGGTGATGCTGGCGCTGACAGAGGCTTTACCCACAATGCCACACTACTGGCCCCAAGAATGATAATGTGAGGGCAGATGCCCAGTGGCCTAAGGCACTCCCACCTCCTGATCACCAGATGTAGATTCAGTGTCTACCTTCTCAGAACCACTGACCTGTGACTTTGGGGTTTAAACTTCTGAATGATGGGGCTGGCGCTGTGACACAGCAGGTTAAGCTGCCAGCATCCCATAAGGGCACCAGTTCGAGTCCTGGCTGCTCCACTTCCGATCCCTGCAAATGCCTGGAAAAGCAGCAGAAGATGATGGCCCAGGTGCTTGGGCCCCTGCACCCATGTGGGAGACCCAGAGGGAGTTCCAGGCTCCTTAGCTCCCCCTGGCCCAGCCCAGGCTGATGCAGCTATCTGGGAAATGAGCGCTCTCTCTCTCTCTCTCTCTTTCTCTCTCTCTCTCTCTTTCTCTCTCTGCCTTTCAAATGGAAAACTCAACCTTAAAAAAAATTTTGCATAAGCTCAGGAGCCAACTCGTATTGAAACCACAGCCCCCAGTCCTCACACAGAAACCCTCAGAGGGGGTACAGGCAGAGCAGGGGCTGGTGCCGGTGCCCGCCGCTCGGCCGTCTCATCTCGCAGACAGACAGCTGTGCTGAGGCCACGCACGTCCCTCCACTGCCTGCTGGACAGAGCTGGGTGTTGGCCAGCTCTGTGCAGAGTGCAACGTGGCCACGAGGAGAGTGACTTCGGGGGCGGTGGTCCCCAGGGCGTCTCCTGTGTGGGCAGAAGCAAGATGCACAGTCCAGGATCTGGCGGTTAAGGGTCTTCTTGGCCGGCTCCCTGGGATTGTGGGACGATGCAGAATTGTCCTGAGGGTCTGGGGCCCTGGGCAGGGCTGCCTCCTCCTCATGCTGGGCTTTGGAAGTTTGCTGGGCAGCGTGGGAAGCCCCAAGCCCTCTCTGCCTTTTTTGGAAGCAGGGAGCTCGGGTTGATGCTCTTGGGAGAGATACGGGGGAGAGCGCACTTTTCCTTAGCCAGCGCGGAGGCCAGTGGGGGTGGGGCCTGGCTTGGGGCTCTGCAGCTGGGGGCCCGGTGCCAATTTTCCCTGCAGGGGCATCTGCCGCGTGCACGCCACTGGGCCAAGAACCTGACACGGAACACTCGGGACGCTGGGACGAGAGACCTGCAGAACCTCGACTCCATCTATTCCCTTGGGTCTTTCTTCCCTGTTCTTTCCAAGCCCAACCCCAGCGCAGCCCAGAAGCAGCCCTGTGTCCCTGGTTGCCACCGTGCCAGGCATCCAGTTTCCTGTCGGTTCCAGAGATTTCCTTCCGTGCCAGGGCGGCCCAGAAGGCAGACAGATCAGAGAGAGAGAGGGAGCGAGAGCGAGAGAGCGGGCGCACAGCCCCGCGTCTCCCCTTGTCGGACGATGGATGCTTTCGCCATCTGCTTTCAATGAAGTGTGGGCTTGGGTACATATGATGGAAAGGGAAACGGAAAAACCATCGGGGTCGCTCCTGCAAAAACAATCATTATTCCGCCCCGCCCCGAAATGAGCTCCCAGGAGCTTCCGGGCACAGATCACATCCCTATTCATGGAATGTTGGACTCACCCAGCCGTTAAGAAGACAGTCCCTGAACGCAGCCAGCCAGGGTCCTCCGGCGGGGCTGTGCAATCTGACGCCAGCCTGCCTGCTTTCTCTCCGCCTTTAAGGATGGCGCCAGAGCTGGGGAGGTGGACTCAGTTACCACGGAAGCCAACCCAGAACCTGAGCCCGCCAAGGCCTGGAGAACCAGCTGCCCCTGGGGCCACTGTGCGCCCGCCGGGGCCTGGCCAGCATCGTCCGGATCCTCAGAGCGCACGCGCACCCAGCAACTCACTTCCTGTCCCTCCATCCGCGCCCTGCGTGGGAGACCGAAACTCCAGGAGTCCACGGTTAGCCAAAGAGAGCAGGACACACAAAGGACCCGCACTCAGCCAGGAGTGGATGGAAGGGACGAGGGGAGGCTCTCCGAATGTGTCCGGTCTTTCCCCCTCCCCAGAAGGCTGTGTGGATTTGCACACGTAGGCTCATTGCAATGCTGGGCGTGGTGTGCATGCACATGTGCACACGTGTGCGCGTCTGTGTGCATCAAAGCCCCGCCTTCTCCCCTCGCCCACCGATGGCTGCCCTGAGACACCCATTTCCGTCGTCCCTCCTCGGATGCCACAATGTCTGAGAGGCGGGCCTCACCTGGGCGCTGAGTCCCACGGGGCCCGGTGATCACGCAGAGAGCAGACGTGCGTGGCGGCGCGGTCCCAGCCGTGGCGTGGGTGGGGAACGCCTCCTCACGTGGGTTGGGGTGCACTGTGGGCGCCAGCCGCCTTCCTCCTGGGGGGGGTCTCCCTGAGGGGTCTGACTGAGACGCCCATCTTGGTTCATCTGCTGCTGCTCTCACAAAGTGCCTGAGACCAGGTAATGGATAAAGAACAGAGCAGAGCTCAAGGTCTGCAGGCCAGGAAATCTAAGAGCATGGTGCCAGCTACAGGTGCGGGCCTTCTGCTGAGTCAGCCCATGGCCAGGAGCATCCCACAGAGGGAGGAGCATCCCACAGAGGGAGGAGCATCCCACAGAGGGGGAGCATCCCACAGAGGGGGGAGCATCCCACAGAGGGGGAGCATCATCCCACAGAGGGGGAAAGCCCACAGAGAGGGGAGCATCCCACAGAGGGGGGAGCATCCCACAGAGGGAGGAGCATCCCACAGAGGGGGAGCATCCCACAGAGGGAGGAGCATCCCACAGAGGGGGAGCATCCCACAGAGGGGGGAGCATCCCACAGAGGGAGGAGCATCCCACAGAGGGGGAGCATCCCACAGAGGGAGGAGCATCCCACAGAGGGGGAGCATCCCACAGAGGGGAGCATCCCACAGAGGGGGAGCATCCCACAGAGGGAGGAGCATCCCACAGAGGGGGAGCATCCCACAGAGGGGGGAGCATCCCACAGAGGGGGAGCATCCCACAGAGGGGGGAGCATCCCACAGAGGGGAGCATCCCACAGAGGGGAGCATCCCACAGAGGGAGGAGCCCTCCTCACCATCCTCTTTGATCTGAATTATCTCTCCAAGGTCCTAAACACATGAATTTGGGGATCACGTTTCCAAACCCTGAACTTTTAGTTTTGGAAGATTTACTTATGTATGTACCTGAAAGGCAGGGCATGAAGGAAAGAGAGAGAGGAGAGAGGAGAGAGCCTTCCATCCGACACTTCGCTCCCCAAATGCCCACAACAGCCAGGGCTTGGCTACGTCAAAGCCAGAAACCAGAAACCCCACTTGGGTCTCCCACATGGGTGGCAGGGGCCCGTGTGCTTAGGCCATCTGCTGCTGCCTCCCCGGGTGCATTAGCAGGGAGCTGGTTCGGAAGCAGAGCAGCGGGGCTTGAACTGCAGCTCTGACATGGGGTGCTGGCGTTGTACAGGTGGCCTAACCCACTGTGCCACAGCAGGGCCCCACCCACGGACTTATGGGGAACACGTTCAAATCATAGCAGCGTCCCACTTCCAAATAACCACACGCCCCACTGGCCAACAGCTCGGTGACGTGTGTACGGCTTCCATCAGCCAATTCTCAGTGTGCCCCTGCGTAACTTCTCTCTCCAAGCCTCACAATCGTTGCTGCCTGTTGGTAGGAGAAAGCAAGTGAGGCACCTCCATGGGCCTCAAACCCCAGCCCCGCTTCAGCCCCCTGCCGCCCCACGGAGCCCCAGGGGTGCACCTGCAGGCACACAGCCACAGAGCCACCCTGGGCTCTCTATGCAGCAGTCACGTTGGGGCGAGGCTAGGGTGACAACCCTGGCTACGAGAATACGGCTTCCCACGGCCAGCTCACGGAACACTGTCGCCTCACAGTGACAGTCTCCCCCGGGTTTCCCAGGCTTTGACAAGGGGCTGGCGGTGAAGAAGGGCCAGTCTCTCCTCTTCTGCAGAGAACAGGGCTTGTCCCCTCAGTGGGCGGGAGCTCCCAACAGCATGGCAGTGGGAGGTGCTAGCATGCCAGGCAGCCCCTCCCAGGACTTCATGCAAATCCCACCATTGGTGGGCTGGGCTTCCAGAAATCCTCTTTGCCTCATACATGTCTAGGAGTCTGTGGAAGTGCTCCTTGGGCCATTCTGGATGGGTGTGTGCTTTGTCCAAAGCTAGATGGGGAACTCTAGGAATTTTTCCTTTTTTTCCATAGGCCTTTTTTTGCTAAAAGTTCCTTCTCTCCTTTGCAGGTTCAGATCCTCAGACATAGCTTGGCAAAGCTGGTTCAACTGCAGTCAAGGGTCAGCGGGAGCTGATGGAGGCCGGCACCCAGCACCTGGCGGCTACGGAAGCGGTCAGGACATCACGGGGTTAGCTGGTTTGGTTCAGTGATGCGGTCATTCAGTGCCTGGTGACCACAAACGGCCACACAGAGCAGAAGGGAAGCATCACACAGCGACTTGAACTGCTAACCTTATCCCGCCTCCCCTCTTGGCTGCCAAGCCATCTTCCAGAGCCCTTTGCATATGCTAACTCGTTTAATCCTGCAAACAAGGAGATGAAGTAAGTTCTATTATTAACCCCATTGTACAAATAAGGAAACAGGCAAGCGTGTTCCCAGAGCCAGCGGTGATTAGCTGGGCCACACGCAGACCAGGACTCTGTCCGCCCTGGGCATTGCCCACCCCGATGATTAACCAACTCTGGTCAATCAACAGGGCCGAGCTGCCTTGGCTGGATTTGTGCTGTCACCGTGAGGAGGAGGAATCTCAGGCCAGCTCAGGGACCGCAAGCGATGGCGGAGAGGGCAGAGCTAGGTCTGTGTCTCTGCGAGAGCCCACGAGGGTGGCTTTCCACCCAGGCTGGCTCTCTCCAGCAGTGACCCGGGACGGTGCGCCCCACGGAGGGCCACAGCAGGTCTGCAGCCTAAGTAGCTGAGACACGAGGCTGGAGACCCAGGCCCCAGGGGTAACAGAAAGCCAGCTGGCCACACGGCTGGGTCATCTGCCCGACGGGACACAGAGAGAGGAATGGGTGCAGATGCAAGTCCTGGGGTGGAAGCAGGAGCCCTGAGGAGACAGGTGCAGTGTGGAGCCCCAGAGCCCACCCACCCTTCCCGCTGCTCCGCCTGGGGGTCCTGCAGGCTTTGGAGGACCCCTGGGGTGAGCGGTGGGTGACAGGAAAGCCCTTGGAGAGAGAGAGAGAGAGAGAGAGAGAGAGAGAGAGAGATGTGGTTCATGCGGTGGCTCAGTTGCTAGCTATGTGGCCATAGCAGATTAGTGACCTCCTTCTAAACCTCAGTCTTCTCACCTGTAAAATGGGAACAACTCTCAGGGTGAAGAAGCTGATGGGGTGGAGAGGGTTTGCACGCCTGGCCTGCAATCCATCCACAAGGAGGGGCACCTCCTGCTGTTGGCATGCCAGGCATCAGAAATAAAGTTATTGATTGGGAGGGGACAAGGACCCCGGAGATAAAAGCATCAATCCCATGGACGATGGAGCCCTGTTTGCTTCTAGCTCTGAAGGGTCACCTCCTTCTCCCTTGGGGGGCACTGGGTAGGCACAGGGAGCTCCAGGATCCCAAGGAGGAAGCCTTCGGTCCTCTCCACCCCTGCCTCCACCTCAGCTCAGTTCCTGCCTCCTGGAAGAGCCACCTTGAGTGTGTGTTTAAAGACTCAGAGTGAAGCTAAGCTGCCTGATCATTTTAAAAATATTTATTTGAAAGAGTTTACAGAGAGAGAGAGGGAGGGACACACACATACACATAAAGAAAGAGAGAGAGAGAGAGGTCTTCCATCTGCTGGTTCACTCCCCAAATGGCCAAAACAGCCGAGGCTTAGCCAGGCCAAAGCCAGGAGCCAGGAGCTTCTTCTGGGTCTCCCACGCAGGTGCAGGGACAAAGTACTTGAGCCATCATCTGCTGCTCTCTCGGAGTGTTAGTAGGGAGCTGGATCAGAAGTGGAGCAGCCAGGACACAAACCAGTATCCACATGGGATACCAGTATCACAGGCAGTGGTTTTACCCACTGTGCCATAGTGCTGGCCCAGGTCTGATCACTTTTTAAAAGCATTTTATTTGAAAGGCAGAGATGGAGGCTGGCACTGTGGTGTAGTAGATTAAACCACCATCTGAGAAGGGGGCATCCCATATGGGTACCAGTTCTAGTCCCGGCTGCTCCTCTTCCAATCCAGCTCTCTGCTATGGCCTGGGAAAGCAGTAGAAGATGGCCCAAGTCCTTGGGCCCCTGTACCCACGTGGGAGACCTGGAGGAAGCTCCTGGATCCTGGCTTCAGATTGGCCCAGCTCTGGCTGTTGTGGCCATCTGGGGAATGAACCAGCAGATGAAAGACCTCTCTCTCTGTCTCTCACCCCTCTCTCTGTAACTCTACCTCTCAAATAAATAAATAAAATCTTAAAGAAGAAGAAGAAGAAAGGTAGAAAGAAAAAGAGAGAAGTTTCCCATCCACTGGTTTACTCCTCAAATGCATGCAATTGGGACTGGTCCAGGCTGAAGCCGGGAGCTAGGAACTCAATCCGAGTGTCTTCACGTGGGTGGCAGGGACTCCAGTACTTGACCCATCGCTGCTGCCTCCCAGGGTGCACATTAGCAGGGAGCTGGAGCGGAAGTGGAGGCCCCAGAACTCAAACTCAGGCACTGTGATATGGGATATGGGCGTCCCAAGCAGCACCTCCACCACTGTGCCACACCCCAGCTGTCGGGCATCTTAGAAGGGGTTCTGGGATGTGGGGAGGCTCCAGCAGGTGGGGGCAGCCCGGCAGAGGCAGTGTCCGAGCCCTCCCTGGCCTCACCCAGGGCTGGACACACTCCCGGCCCCTCAGATGCTCCCTTTGGCTGTCACCTTGCCTGCCTCTTTTTCTTTTCTTTTCTTTTTTTGACAGTGAGAGAGAGACAGAGAAAAAGGTCTTCCTTTGCCATTGGTTCACCCCCCAAATG